GATAAATCTTTCACACTCACTTCAGTGTGTTGACATGTCTTCGATCTCCAACCGAACCTTCTTGTCATATGTGTCCCTCATCCGATGTTTGTACCACGATGATCCGTAATTCTGTCGCATCCCCAGCTCGTCTTTCATTTACAAAGCCTCTCTCTAAAGCTCCTGGGGTCTTCTGCTCATCGAGCCTCCCAACTCTAAACGAGTTGAGTCCTACTTCTAGATACGTACCACTGTTTGCATACCATACATCAAGCTAAAAGGTGTCTCCCTAGTCAAGATCTATGATATTGTCTGATTAACTCAGAATACCGAGTCAAGCTCGTCTACCCAAGCTCTAGAGGCCTTTTCAGACGCCTCTTGATTCATTGTATTATGATTTGATTAGCGATTTCGACTTGTCCCTACCATGTAGATGTGCCACTCATCGAACCGTTATCTCCGCACATTATGACATGATATTGCCATATTGGCACCATTGAATTGAGACTGGGTACATTGTTCGATGTTAGCGTTCACGATACATCTTATCGACAACAAATATTGGAGAGCAAAAAATCTATCACCTGGTTCTCAGAGACGGTGGCTAAATCCTATGCCTCGACCCACGTCCTAAAGTATTCGATAGCTACCAGAAACCACTTGATTATTTCTGTATTATTTTTCATGTGAATGAAAATTTACTATAACAAAACATATCTAAAGTATATGTATTAGACTTTTTCATTCGGTAAAGAGCTCTCTCTCTCTCTCTCTCTCTCTCTCTCTCTCTCAAACTATTTATCTATCTATTTTGACAAAAAATTTGCAACAATTGTTTTTATTTTTTCATTCTTTTTCCTTACTCTTTGCATTAATCAAGTAATTACATTTTTTTTATTTATTTTATTACATAATAGCTACTACTAATTAATTATAAAGTCAGATTAAATAAAATTATATTTTAAACTTTTTTAAACTATTTATTAAAAATTTTTATGTCTTAGCTCATTAAGATTTTTTTTTAATTAATATTAGTTAATTATTTTTATGGTATAACCAAATCTTCTAAAATTTTGTACAAAATTTTAATGATAATAATAATATTAATATTATTTTATATAATTTATTGGTCATAATCAACTTGAATTGTAAAAAAAAAAAACACTATTATAACTAATATAAACATTAATACGTAAGTTAAATAATTTATATTTATATCGTTTATTTTTACTGACAACAAAATTAAAAAATAAATTAAAAATGTAATATATTCATTATCTAATCATTAACGTAA